TTGTACGGTGGCCAAGAGAGCTCAATGCGCTGCAACTGAAGAAAACACATGCAAATAGAAAAAAAAAAACGTATGCAAATAGAAAAAAAAAAACAGAAATAACAGACCACAATGGAACAGAAACAGAAACGCGGTGCAAATAACAGACCACAACGGAAATGTTTCCTGGGGAACCAAATAAGTGACGAACCCGACTGGGATGTGCTGAAGCTTACAACTGAAAATTCTATAGCAATATGTTCAATGTCATCAGAATACAAATGAGAAAAGAACAATGAGCTGAAAACTAGAAATCCGTTACACTTATAAGAAATGTTAGGTAAAGTTGAGACACACAGATATCAACATGACATCATGACTTTTGCGTAAACATATACGCCACTTTCGAGTCAGGTGGCGTGTTATCTCCACGCATTTTGTGCTATCCGCGTGTATGCGTATATGCAGACTGATCTCATGAAGTAGCGTGTGTATGACACGCCAATTCGTATTTCCATTTTTGGCGTGCTATCAAGACGCATAATCGCCTTTCAGCGTGTTTATGAACGCCGTTGACTTAACGTTATATAAATATATGACTTACCTCAACCCCGTCCCTAAACCTAACCGTCACTGGGGTTAATGGCATTTATGACTGGAGATTTGACTGCGTGTTCAGACACGCGGAATGACGCGGACATTAATGGCGTAGACAGATATATACACGCATATTTTAAAACCTTTTTTGTAAAGTAAAAATAAAAATGTATTTGCAACCGTTATGTTAACAGCATTATATTTCTGTAATAAGAACAGCTATTTTGCTGATGGTCACGGTCACGTTGTCATGGGAACATCCCATGTGAAAATACTGAGGAAATTAAGTGTTCTTTCGTTGCTCCCTTCATCAAGTGAGTTTCATGCGGCTACATAATGGCACACTGGAGCTCTGCTCACTCCAAAGTCCCATTTTAAGGGCTCCGTCGTCTGCCCTTCGAAAGGAGTATGGCATAAAGAAGCTTACGAGCAATAAGCACATCCAAGCCGAGATGGTCCTCACTGCAGAACACAAAATCCACAAGATCCAGATCCAACACCTCCCACCTTACATATACCTAATCCTACCCATCTCCACCCCTTATATCTGGATCCAACTCTGCCCCCGGATCTCGTGTACTGCAATGAGGTGCTACCGTCCAAGCCAGGTTCATCACTTATTTGGTTTCCCTGAAATATTTCCATTGTGGTCTGTGTTATTTGCACCGCATTTCTGTATTTGGTTGTGTTTTGAACTTTTGGAGCACATGTGTGTTGTGAAACTGATGATGTTTTTTTTAATTTGCAGGTGTTTCTTCAGTTGCAGCGCGTTGATCTCTCTCGGCCAACATAGTTTTTTCCTTTGTAGGTCAGTACTGACAGTCATTTGTTTTACTTTGAAGGAATTTGATGGGTCACGTTTTTTGAGAAGCTGTCAGATACATGGAGAAAATAGGCCCTCCTAACATAATGACTAAAGTTATTTAGAAATATAATCTACTTGTTAAATTGTGACATCAAATACTGCTTCTGGGTTAAAGCCTGTACTCTTGAAGAATACTGAATACTCATTTTTGAGCACTATTTATTCACATGTAAGCTAAGCTTTTAAAACCTACTGTGTACACTAGAGTTTCTAAGCTCGCAGTGTCACGGACGCCAATATTTCTGGTCTGGTCAACTGGCATTTCAGTGTGGAGATAGAAGGTTAGGATCATGATTTTTCAGTAGAACTACAGCACATGGTGAGTGTATATTAGCATCGTCTGTTGTTTAGTTTTGGGATCTAAAGGAGCGTTTAGACCCGGAAGCATTAACGTCAAACTTAACAACTGGATTATCGGTATAGTCAACTAGATAAAAGATAAAAGAGAATATTCTGACATTTTATTTTGCTTCACCAAAACGTTTTCTGTGCACATTACTTTACCATCTTCTTTGAAAATGTCTTTTAAATCGTGATTTAATTTTTTATCCGTTTCAATAGTGGGGTTTTAACACCCTGTGGGCATTTGTTTCTTATTAGTGTTGCTTGATGTTTAACCAAAGGTCTAAATTAGTTTCAAGACAGTGTACAGACTTTGACTAGATGAAGTTTTGGACACATGACACAAGATGGACACTTTTTTAACAAATACCGGTACACATTTTCCCCATACGTGTCTCCCTAGCTGTGAAAAGAACACTTTTTATGACTCGTAGTCTTTGCACTAAATCATGGATCATGACTGGGCTCTCCGAAAGCTTTCCATGCTAATTATGTGTCACTTACACAAAAAAAAAGAAATGAAGGATGAACTAAGGGAACAAATGTTGAAAAACACTGTACTGCCAATCTGGCATTATAGACTGGTTTCATCATTGCAGTATTGTCCCGAGTTCTCATTGGCTCTGGGTTTTGATCATGAACCCTCTGCTGCTGTTTTAATGTCAGCTGAAGGATGGCTCGTCCAGGTCAATTATTTTGTGTTCTTGCAGTTTGCCTGTTCACGTCTTCTCGTGAAGAAGGGAGGATTGCCAGTGACCGGTGCGTTGTCACTCAGAGTATTTTTTAGACCTATGCATGCTGCATGGACACATTTTTATACTTTCATACAAGGACATGAGAAACCTTCTGACTGCTTGGGAGCTGATCAGAAGAGCACTGAGTTTCTTTAGTTAGTTGACCCTCTCTGGCTGGGTCATGACAGCCTCTTCATACAGTACCAACCCAACATGTACAGCAGAGGCCATTTTAGGTCATGTGTTATTTTCTTTTTGTTTTGTTTTGTCTTTTAAAAAGACTTTGCAATTTAATATGTGGACAAGAAAAGCACACCAATGATTTATACAGAGCCTGTTGGGCAACAACAGCATCTCCCATCAAATCTTTGGGTACTATGTATGTATATATTCAGCCATTTTGAACGACATTATGAACTGTTGTTTATGAACAGATGTAAATCAATATAACATCTGCCTGTGGGACTGTGTTAGCAACTGAACAAGGTTTTCTGCTCTCATGTGTAAAGTAAACTCTTCTGTTGCTCTACAAGCCACAAACCGTGCTTTTCTTACCTATCGTGTGTTCAAATGTTCAATGTTACCATCTCCTGCATTTGAGGTGCAGTGAATGCATTATGCTGCCCTCCAGTGCCTCTGTAAGGGAAAACATCCAAACTGTTTGGGTGCTAAAAATGAACGCTGATTGGAATGCTTTGATAAAATGGCTAAAGTATTGAAGAGAAAGTTCCACTGGGCTTTGAAATCTTCATCATAAATGAGTTTGATTATGGTGTCATTTTTACCCCCGATTTGTTTATAGAAGTACTGCCACGCCAGCAGACATCTGAAGTAGGTTTTAATGGCCCACTATGTATTTTTTTCTTCTCTCAGTCTGTATGTTTGCATTCTCACCTTGTTTCACTGTTCAGCGAGAGAGATCTTAACTACAGATGTAACTGTGTAGGATAGTGAGGATGTAAATAAACAAGCGCTTGCCAAAGTTTGTGAATGAAACACCATACTGAAAGTGTGTTGAGAGTTTGTTCTTAATGTGTGCATTAGTGCAGTGGTTCTCAACCGTGGCAAACAAATTCATAAAATTTACATTTGTTATATTAACATAATGCACAACATTAATCTAACATCATATTTTTGGTCCATATTAGTTTTAGCTATTGTCTTGTGTCCATTAAAAAAAGGTTGAGAAACTGCATTAATGTGTGTGAAAACATTGTGATTGCAGTAGTGCTGATTTAGCAGGGAGTTCTAATGTCCTTCAGTGTTTTCATTTTATTAACTCCTCTTTTAGGACAAATATGTCATTATGCCAATGAGGAAACTGGTGTTTGTATTCAGCAGTAAGCCAGACGCTCCACTTTGAAAGAACCTTTCACTACCTACTTACTCTTGGCCTGGCAAAATGGGCCCCCCTCTGTTCTCTGAAATACATGAAAATAGAAGTGTGGAGAAAGACTTCCATACAGCCAGATGAAGAATGTACTCTATTAAGCCATGTTCCCTGTGGAATAAAGTGAAAATAAATAGAGTTAAGGTGCCATTTCACACAAATATCTCTTTGGCCCCTCTAAACATAGGCCTACAGTTTGAATTGAGTTTCATCTCACGTTGAAAAGCTATAAAGGAGGGGACTGAGGGGATTTAGCAGACTGGTGAGCTAGACAAAGCTAGTTATCTAAAACTTATTTATTTCCTCAAGTCTGTCCATCAAGAGGATGGCACCCTTTTTACAACAATCTCTAACAACCGCTGACTGTAGAGTGGTGAAGTCACGTATTCGATCACCGGGCCTTCGGTGCTCATGTACCTTGCCTGGAACAGCCTTTCCGCGGCTAGTCGTTCTGGCGTTTGCCGCTGACTCTGACGTGTCTGTAGTGGTTAACTTAAACATGAGATAGAATTCGTCTTTTGTAGACCTAACGGGTGATCTTTGGTCTTGTGAATCTATTATTTGTTCCCTAGCCTAGCCAATCGTTTTGACTGAGGGCGTCCTAGCCGGATAAGTGAAGTTTCATAACACTTTATTTATTTAGGCTATTTAACTTTACCGGTTTACTAGAGCGCTGACTTTTGAATTGTACTGTACCTTACCTTACCCTACCGCTCAGTGGAAACGAGCCATACTTGTTTACAATTACTTGTTATTCTCACAATGGCAGTAAATTTGTCATATGGATTCTCCCTACTTTTTTTATCTTCCTTTCTAAAAAGGCTACTGCTGCTTGTATACATTCAGAAGGTCAAGCCAGCCACTTGTCATCTATCACTGAAAACTGAGACCCACAGCTTTTGATCACTGGATTTACAGAAATCATGTAATGTTGAGAAAACACATCTTACCAGCTCCCGAAAAACACATTAATTATTATTTGAACTCAGTGCCATTTAACTCCACGTATTACTGTCTTTTGTACGGAGCCCCTACAAAAGACAGTAATACGTGGAGTTATTTGCAAAAAATAAAACATATTTCAGACTTTGGGTTGCATCATAATCAGGTTTCACAGATAATTTATTTATTCAATCCTGAAATATTCAGCACATTCTGTTTAAAGGTCATACAATCATATATCTGAAGGAAGAAAGATGGCTCAAGTTACTTCCATAGCTGAAACTAGAACCTCTACTAACCTTCAGAAGTCTGACAATTCATCTTTTACTATGTATACAGTATGTATATATGTATTTCACTTGCTAACGTGAGGTTCCTGCATTCAGTCATCTGTAATTATGTAAACGAGGTGAAACCCATTTTTCAGGTTTTATTTAAAGTGAATTATGAAGACTTCATGTATATTGATCTCTGGTTAAATTAGTCACATTTCTGAGTCAGTTCCACTATATGTAGATCCTTACAGGGATTGTTCACCCAGAAAATGGAAGTTCAGTCAATGTTTGCTCAACTTAAAATGGGTTCGAACTTGAATTACATTATTTTCTTCCTGCAGATCACAAAAAAGTGATTTTTTTGATGAATTGGTCACCTTTGACATTCATTGTACGGACAACAAAGACATTCTTAAAAAAAAAATTATGATCCGAAGAAGAAAGAAAATGATACAAGGGTGAGTAAATGATGACAGAATTCTCATTTTTATGTTAACTATCCCTTTAACAAGGTAACTTCACTGTGTTTAATTGAATTGAGTCACTGGATGAACTATGCAGAGATGTTCACAGCATTAGGGTGAAATTTACTCGATCAATATCAGTAGGTCATTTAAGGCCACCTAAAGGAGAATCAAAGTTGAATCCATCTTAATGTTGCAGTAGTAGTCAGTTCAGGTGCTGTTAGCCTGCTCCTGTTCAAACAAAGCCATTGCTAGGTGTGATCGAGAGGCCAGCCCCTCGAGGTTACTAAGAACGCAGCGGTGATAGATGTCCTCACTGAACCGCGGGTTACATTCCCTGTGCACATACTTCTGAACTAGCGCCGGCTCGACAGCCCGAAAGACGTGCAGCCCAGAGTAACGTACAAAGATCTCGTAGACGTCCATGCTCTCAAGCAATTCATCATTGTCCAAGATGTCAGCCGCCATCTTTGTGCGGGCAGCCATGTAATCAGCATTGTAGAAGCAGGCTTCTTCAAAGACGTGGCGGTCAAAGTGGCCATCGCGCAGCGCCTCAGATGCAAACGATGAAGCGACAGAAGGCTGTTGGTCGCGGTAGACCAGAGCGGGACTGTACTCTTGAAAGTGGATTGGGAAGAAGACCTGCCAATTGCTGATGGCGTTCATACGGCAGCGGTTGAGAAAGTCGGCGTTGACCTCAGTCCATACGCTGGCCAGGAAGAACAAGGTGTCGACTGGGTGCTTCTTGGAGATGATGTCCATGAGCTTGACCTGTGAGGGAACTTCCGTCTTTACACTAATCCAAGGAATCTTTACATCACTGTAACGTTTCTCTACCTCACCAATCATGGCTTTGACACCGGCAAAGACGTCCGTCTGGCTGACTCGCTGGGCATCGAAGGGGTCATATACAAACAAGAAGGTGAGCAGAGCATTGTCATGGGTATCCAGAGCATTCATGACATACATGTCAAGGAAGTTACCCACAAAGTCTTGGTCGTGTGCCGTCACAGGGAGGATGACCTGTACTCGTGTTGCCTCTGTCACATATGGCATAGGGATGATCTCGACAGCACTGAGCGGCTTCAGCAAACTCACCCTTTTGGCGATGACCTGACTGTGACCCTTCTGGGTAAAAGCTTCCAGGGCCAAATCCAGCACATACTCCATGCCTCGTGTGGGATCGAAGCGTCGGTACCCGTTCAGCAGACGCTGCTTACGGAAGCGCAACTGGGGCTGATAACGCTCATTCAGGCGGCCCACTGCAGTCTCCAGGACTGAATTGACATCTGCCCGGTCCGCACCCCGAAGCTCACACTTCGGAGAGCTGTCAGCGCATGAATAAATATGCTCTTCAGTGAAGTATTCCCAGTTGATCACCTCAAAGCGGGTTTTGGGTCGGAATGGTGGGTTGATTCCGATGGGCCACGTGGCTCCGGCTTTGCCCTCTGGAGTGAGCTCACTTATGTTATTGATCTGGTTCTGTGGCCAAAACAACAGAACAAGTCATTTTAAGGAGCGTCAATAACGTTTAACTGGTAAAAGGATATTTTCTTTGAAGAGAGTTCTTTCTTTGCTTTAGGCACATTATGTATATTAATCGCTTCAATTATTATGCAGAAAGGCAAAGTTTCTCCTTGACTCAAAGACAAAGTCATCCTATCCAATCTAAAAGCAATGGAAAAAGCTTTTCACTTTTAAAAAAACTTTTGCTGATAACTTTGGTGTCTGGTGTCGTTTAAAGCCCTTTCAAGCTGCACTGAAACTCTCATTTGGACCTTGAACCGTTTGGTTCCCAATGAAGTCCATTATATGGAGAAAATCCTGGAATGTTTTCATCAAAAACCTTCATTTCTTTTCAACTGAAGAAAGAAAGACATGGACATCTTGGATGACATGGGGGTGAGTAAATTATTAGCAAAAGTTTTTTTTTTTTTAAAGTGAACTACTCCTTTTAATGCTTTAGTCTGAAATCTAAAATATTTGCAAAGTCAGACTAATATACGTAGATAATGTGTTTGTAGCATGGCTTCGTCCAGCATGTTCACACATTAACCAACTACACTTGACCTTGGCATTGTGTATTTGCTCAAAAAGTAACTTACTTAATCTTGAAGGCGCTAACAGAGACATATCACATCGAAATACAGCATGCATTTAATAAAATGCTAAATTGTGCAGGTCTCAACAAGGTACACCTTAGTCAATATGCATGACACGGTCATAATGCATTCTCAAACTGAAGGTGCTGATTCTGGAAACAGGTTTTTGCACATGTCTAAGGGTAACAACTGGGAACTCAACCAGCTGGCTAGAAGTTAATAGCTCATGAAAATGAGATCATTTTCTAAGATGAGGTACAGTAACATACCTGTAACTGCTGAATTTGTGCATAGGTCCAGTCCAGTTCAATCTGGTTGTAGCGTTTGTGTAGGCGATACATCAGGAAGGGTTCAGAGACGGGGTGGACGGTGAAGGCGCCTTTAAACTGTGCACTGTCCTCGCGCTCAGGGTCCACGTTCTTCTGCAGCTCAAAGTAACGGTAGGTCATCTCCTACATCATTTTAAAAGATCACAACAGCTCTGATCATAATCCAGGTGTTAACAGATTCTCCCTCTGTGCATAGTTTTGGTCTAGATTAATGATGAAAATAAGCCATGACCAAGCACAAAACAATATTTACTTTGTTTTCACTAGTATGAGATAATGATATTTAAGTTCAGAAGGAGCAAATTAAACTGTGGTTACTCTGACAAACAATCACAGTTTATACAGCAAGTGATTTCAGCTTTTAATGGGCTTTATGCACAGCTGCACTACTTCCTGAACTTCAGCCAGCTCCTTGTTTCCTGTCGGCCATTATTGGACACATTGATTAATTCAGGTGTGCATGGCCTCAGTAGTCACTGCAACAATAATCAGACACACCTGAATTAATCAATTTGGCCAATAATGGCAGACAGGAAACAAGGAGCTGGCTGAAGTTCAGGAAGTAGTGCAGCTGTGCATGAAGCCCATTTACATTGATTTAAAAAGCACTGTCCCACCTGATGCTTCTCCACACAGCTAAGACCCAGGTAATCGATGATGCAGCGACCAAGCCACTCATCTGGCCTGACGCTGAGGATGTCATTTCGACAAGAGTCCAGGTGGGGCTGCAGTCGGGCTAGCAAGCTACGCGACAACAGATACCCATATCCACCATGGCAATATCGGGCACGTTCTTCACCCCCGATAAACTCCTCTGCTCGTCCCATGTACATATCCTGTCCCGCACTGAGATGATTAACCAGCTCCATGACCCTTTCAGCTTGTGTGTACGTATCATCTTGTGCAAGGTAAAACCAGTCATATTCATTGCCGTGGTGTTGGTGAAGGTGCCGTATAGTTTCATACATCAGCCATACGGGTCGATCATCACCATGAGCAACAACAGCCATGCCGTGCGGTGCCTTTGCACTCCGTAGGCCAGTGAAAAAGAAGGTACGGTGAAAATGGTGAGCTACCGTTTTATTGACTGCCACCCCTAGCGTATTCAGAGTGGCGCGTGAGCTCAGGATGCCCACCAGAAGCCGTTCTCGGATGCCCAGCTCCGTGTGGATATAGCGAGTCCTGTGGCAAAAAAACAAAAACAAAATGTGAAATTGAACAGTTTCATTTTAGTGTAAATATACAGTAGCCTACTGTTAAAGTTTGTTGTTAATTTTTTGTTTTTTTTTATAGAAGTGTCTTAAGCTCAAAAAAGCCTGCATTTATTTGATTAAAAATTCAGTAAAACATTAATATTTTGAAATATTATTACCTTTTAAAATAACTACTTTACTATATTTTAAAATGTAGATAGAGATCTAAGCCAATTAATCTTAGCAAAATAATAATAAAATATAGCTGCAAGCAGCCATTACCGGGGCCAAGCGCAAAAAGCGGCAACATATGCCAAAATGGCAAGGAGTGGCAGACCAACTGCAGCAAGGAGCAATTAAGGGCATTTTGAGATAACTTTGGGCAAATGGCTAAGAAAATCACATAAACATTAACTTATGAGACGATTTAATGGGTTATCACTTTCTAACAATAGGTGGCGCAGTTACGAAATAGATGTGATGTGGTCAGAGTGAGGTGACAATGACACATGCAAAGTTTGGTGTCAAAATGTGAAGGCATTGCAGAGATAAAGCCTAAATAGTAATTTTGGCAGCATGCCTAAACTTTGATGCTGTGGTATACAAAAACGGTTTTGTCTATCATCGTGCAATTCATAACTTTTAGTCGGCACGGTCTGGAGATGATACGATTCAATTTTCGTGAAAATCGTACAAACGGTCTAGGAGGAGTTCGAAAAACAAGGTTTTTCAAAGAAATAAAGATGGCGGACAGGAAGTTTGGCTGATTATGGCAAACCTGATATCTATGTTTTCGGCATAACCCAAGGAATCTATTTAGATCAGTTTCATTGCAATAGGCAAATTTATTCAAAAGTTATTAGCGTTCTCAGAAATTAATTATAACTTTTGACCAACAGGTGGCGCTGTCTCAAAATCTTTTGAGTACCTTCAGGGCATGCTGCTTATGGCACACACTGAGTTTCGTAATGTTATACCAAAGCATTTGTTTAGTATAGCATTGTATTTCACAAAACTGTATTGAAGTCAATGGGAATTTCACGTTTTGTTCTATTATAGCGCCACCAAGAGGCTCAGTCCCACAATTTTTTGTGTGTGTCCTCAGAGTGACCCCATACATATGTGTGTCAATTTTGGTGAAAATATCTCAATTCGCTTCCGAGTTATAAACATTTATATGAAAAAACACGTAAAAAATGACTGACACATGACTTTGTTTGAATTTTACTACCCCTTACTATCAATATTTTCGCATTTGGGCATTTACATTTAGTTAACAAGCTATGATTCCGTGTTTCTGACGGTGGTTTCGTCTCGATCGGAACAACGGTTTTGAAGATATCGCCACGTGTTTTTTTCGCGCTAAATCGCTATGCTACGCCATCCGTGAGACGAAACCCGACATATTTGGTATCGTTGGACTCGGAAACGATTCAGGACCTCAGAAAGATGACTCCCGTGAAAATAAGTGTACCACACCCAAAGTTATAAGCGTTTGAAAAAAAAAATTCACCACTAGGTGGCGCTGTTTCGAAACTTCTCAGGCTTCTTCAGGGCATCGTACTGATGACCCATACCGAGTTTCGTAACAATTCGTTCATGCGTTCAAAAAATACAGCATTTTAGCACATAATTCAAAATGGCCGACAGCCAAAATGGCCGATCTGGGAAAATTGGATATCGGTCGACTCGGCATGATGCCCTGAATCTAACGAGATGAAGTTTATGATTTTTGGACAAACCGTTCAGAAGTTACGAGCAAAAATAGCCATTTTTCATATCTCCGGACCACTAGGTGGCGCTGCGCCGAAACGCAGCACGTAGCCTCAGGTCATGCTTGTGATGACACGTACAAAGTTTGGTCTGAAAACGAGTAAGCGTTGCGGAGATACAGCCTCACGTCTGTTTTTGCAAGCGCTACGTAAAATTAGTTTGCGCGCTTATCGAAAACGGTTATTCGAATCATCTTGAATTCCATAACTTTTTGTCAGCACTGCCTGGAGATGATCCAGTGCGATTTTGGTGAAAATCGGACAAACCGTCTAGGACGAGTTCGCAAAAGTAGGTTTTTTGGAAAATTCAAAATGGCGGCCGTTTTTTTATGACGGAAAATGACGTCATAGGGTGCGATCGAATCGGCATGAGCTCAGGAACAATAGGAAAAAAGAATTTTGTTGATAGGCCTTACGGTTCAAAAGTTATTAGCATAATAAAAGTGAAACTTTGGACAGTTGGTGGCGCTAGAGGGAATGAGTTAGAGACACCAAAATTGGTGTATTTAAAGTTGGGACAGTCCTCTATCAGAATGTCAAACCAAAACAACTTTCCCGCAAACCGGTCTATGGGCTGCCATAGACGCCCAGTCGGAAGAAGAATAATAATAATAAATATAGCTGCAAGCAGCCATTACCGGGGCCAAGCGCAAGAAGCGGCAACATATGCCAAAATGGCAAGGAGTGGCAGACCAACTGCAGCAAGGAGCAATTAAGGGCATTTTGAGAGAACTTTGGGCAAATGGCTAAGAAAATCACATAAACATTAACTTATAAGATGATTTAATGGGTTATCACTTTCGAACAATAGGTGGCGCAGTTACGAAATAGATGTGATGTGGTCAGAGTGAGGTGACAATGACACATGCAAAGTTTGGTGTCAAAATGTGAAGGCATTGCAGAGATAAAGCCTAAATAGTAATTTTGGCAGCATGCCTAAATTTTGATGCTGTGGTATACAAAAACGGTTTTGTCTATCATCGTGCAATTCATAACTTTTAGTCGGCACGGTCTGGAGATGATACGATTCAATTTTCGTGAAAATCGGACAAACGGTCTAGGAGGAGTTCGAAAAGAAGGTTTTTCAAAGAAATAAAGATGGCGAACAGGAAGTTTGTCTGATTATGGAAAACCTGATATCTATGTTTTCGGCATAACCGAAGGAATCTATTAAGATCAGTTTCATTGCAATAGGCAAATTTATTCAAAAGTTATTAGCGTTCTCAGAAATTAATTATAACTTTTGACCAACAGGTGGCGCTGTCTCAAAATCTTTTGAGTACCTTCAGGGCATGCTGCTTATGGCACACACTGAGTTTTGTAATATTACACCAATGCATTAGTTTAGTATAGCATTTTATTTCACAAAACTCTATTGAAGTCAATGGGAATTTCACGTTTTGTTCTATTATAGCGCCACCAAGAGGCTCAGTCCCACAATTTTTTGTGTGTGTCCTCAGAGTGACCCCATACATATGTGTGTCAATTTTGGTGAAAATATCTCAATTCGCTTCCGAGTTATAAACATTTATATGAAAAAACACGTAAAAAATGACTGACACATGACTTTGTTTGAATTTTACTACCCCTTACTATCAATATTTACGCATTTGGGCATTAGCGAATAGTTAACAAGCTATGATTCCGTGTTTCTGGCGGTGGTTTCGTCTCGATCGGAACAGCGGTTTTGAAGATATCGCCAAGTGTTTTTTTCGCGCTAAATCGCTACGCTACACCAACCGTAAGACGAAACCCAGCATGTTTAGTATCGTTGGACTCGGCAACGATTCAGGAACTCAAAAAGATGACTCTCGTGAAAATAAGTGTACCACACCCAAAGTTATAAGCGTTTGAAAAAAGAAATTCACCACTAGGTGGCGCTGTTTCAAAACTTCTCAGGCTCCTTCAGGGCATCGTACTGATGACCCATACCGAGTTTCGTAACAATTCGTTCATGCGTTCAAAAAATACAGCATTTTAGCACATAATTCAAAATGGCCGACAGCCAAAATGGCCGATCTGGGAAAATTGCATATCAGTCGACTCGGCATGACGCCCTGAATCTAACGAGATGAAGTTCATGATTTTTGGACAAACCGTTCAGAAGTTACGAGCAAAAATAGCCATTTTTCATATCTCCGGACCACTAGGTGGCGCTGCGCCGAAACGCTGCACGTAGCCTCAGGTCATGCTTGTGATGACACGTACCAAGTTTGGTCTGAATAGGATGAAGCGTTGCGGAGATACAGCCTCACGTCTGTTTTCGCAAGCGCTACGTAAAATTAGTTTGCGCGTTTATCGAAAACGGTTCTTCAAATCATCTTGAATTCCATAACTTTTTGTCAGCACTGCCTGGAGATGATCCGGTGCGATTTTGGTGAAAATCGGACAAACCGTCTAGGACGAGTTCGCAAAAGTAGGTTTTTTGGAAAATTCAAAATGGCGGCCGTTTTTTTATGACGGAAAATGACGTCATAGGGTGCGATCGAATCGGCATGAGCTCAGGAACAAGAGGAAAAAAGAATTTTGTTGATAGGTCTTACGGTTCAAAAGTTATTAGCATAATAAAAGTGAAACTTTGGACAGTTGGTGGCGCTAGAGGGAATGAGTTAGAGACACCAAAATTGGTGTATTTAAAGTTGGGACTGTCCTCTATCAGAATGTCAAACCAAAACAACTTTCCCGCAAACCGGTCTATGGGCTGCCATAGACGCCCAGTCGGAAGAAGAATAATAATAATAATAATAATAAGAACCGGCACAGATACAATAGGTGCCTCCGCACCTTCGGTGCTTGGCCCCTAATAATAAGAACCGGCACAGATACAATAGGTGCCTCCGCACCTTCGGTGCTTGGCCCCTAATTACTTTAAATCTATGTAGTTAAGTCAATCTCATTGCAATTTTACATTATGGCCTTCTGTTCTTATACTGATACTAGTTTAATTTGTGAATGATTTATACAGTACATTACAACTAAAAGAGCTTTTTTATAACTGAGATTTCAGTCTAATCTGAAAATTAAATGAAACCCAAATGAACTGACATTTAAGGACTCACCTGAGAACTTTCTTGTGTGGTTTGTTGGGGTCCTTGTGATAGGGCACAATGCGAGGCTGGAAGTCCTCATTCCCATCCCCATCTTGGCCATCCTGGAGATCCCTGATATGACCACTGTGTACGAGTCTCCCATTTCCCAGTTCATCTCCACAAGCCTCATCGGTGTCCCCCTGTGACCAGGACACCATCAGGAGACTGAGGCTACAGCCCAAAGAGAGGCCCAGAATGAGGGGCAGAGCAGGCCGGAAAACAGCCAGGAAGGGAGACAGGCGCATGGTGGAGCAGGCAGTCTTCTGCGCAAGCCAGACCAGTCAATGGATGTCAAGTCTCGATAGGTCTCCTTGGAGAGCAGTTCAAGTAACAGAGTCTTGATTACAGTAGAGGCATTTCACAGCAATTCTGTATAGGAAGTATTTGAATTCCTGACACTATATGATCATAGCATGAGTAGTCAATTCAGTGTTGAGGTCTTCACAATCAAAATAATGGACGATGAAGATGTCAAGCGCAAAGGCGAACAAAAGGAGGAGCAATAGTAACCAGTGTAACCTGCCTCTTTACAATCGAATGACTTAACACCAGGACTTGCGTGATTTACCATCTAAATAGGCAAAAAAAAAAAAAAAAAGGCACTACCGTTCCCTCCATATATAAAACAGTCCACTGTGACTGATCTAACCGGACATCCTCCTGCAAGCGATATGCGTGAGCTGCATGTATGAATACATTATTTGAGAATTACTTCTACATTATTAGATGAGAAATCACCTCCACTGGTGATGCACAAAATGTTAGATCTCTAACCAGTCGACACCATTTGCAGCCGCAACCGAGATGCAACGTTCATGTACAGTTGACCGTGGACTGAAATATGATATAGTTCAGGATATTAGCATGCACGTTTTTAGGTCTTTTGGAGAGAATCTGCGGTTCGAAAGACAATCGACGATAAATTAGATTACATTCTATAAAAAGTCCTCCACCACTATAGCGTAGCTGTGCTTGCTCACTGAAGCTGAGCAACATTAGCAGCCGCCCGCAAAATTTCCCAAAAAAAACACACTAATCCGAAGTAAATGCTGTCAAATGTGGATTCATTCCTGCGTCACTTCCGATGATTAGTTGAAAAATACCATATGTTTATGGAAAAATACAAAAAGTCGCGAAATTACTTTATTGTCTTTTCTGTAAACGTATCCAGCATCGTCGGGCACGTATCAAGTCCTACGGATGTGGTCGAGAGAGGAAGATTGACTGAATGCGTTAAAACCAAACGGACCCAGGGAAACAAGCAGCACGCGCAGAAGAGTTCCACGTGTACACGAGTCCTACAGCAGAGAGAGAGGGAGAGTCACTCTGACAGACAGCAACTGTTTGTCCGCGCGGTTACTGTTATCCCATCCCGCTGCTGCACCGAGGGGAGACACGTCATCAACCACGAATGATAGGTCAAGATGCAGGCCATCAAATGTCAAATTGTGATTACAAAGAGAGGGGAGGTGAGAGTCGCATTAAGAATAGCTACAAATAAAATGAAAAAGGAAATTAATCATATAACAGTTAGCCTAGCTAACTGAGTGAAAAGTGAATTTCGTTTTGACTTGTATCTTAATTTTAATCCATTTTTCATCAACCAATTGCCAGTATTTAATAATTATGAAGCAAATATAGCAGACAATATAATCATGACATGGAGGCACCGGCGCAGTCTCTTGCACTGCACATGAACTGGAGCATCTCATTATAAATGAACCGAAGCTCATGCCTCACAGACATGAGAAATATCTAAAGAAAGCTTAAAAGGTCTTTAAACGAAACAAGCTCTCTGATTATAAACGAAATAAACTACTCTCTGATTGTATAATCCATGATGATATATAATCTCTCTACAACACGTTCACCAATAAGTAGATGGCGATCGTCAACTTCATCTTTGCAGACAGAAAACAACAGTTTATTAATAAAAATCAATGCACGTGTGTCACCAGATTTTGCTTGGTGTACGCACATATTATTTTGAAATAATGAGCTATGATGTTGAAATGTCATTGTTAATAATAAATCTTTAATTTTGATCATTACAATAATTGAAAAAAAAAATAAATGGCCAATGTTTACTGTTAAACATTGTTATGTAACATTTAATGTTAATAGTAGGCTATTTATATATCTAGCACCCCCTCATGCATTAAAAATTCTCTTGTGGTTATAACGGCCCACGAATAAAAAAAATGGTCGGGTTTAAACTGAGCTCTGGCTCATAATAAGTTTCGTTTAGAGACACAATGTGCACAGGCTCGGGTAGGTTGAAAGCAAAGCTCTACTGTGAATTATAGTGAATATTACATTTTTGAATATTTTTCATAAACAAAAATTGATTTATTCCCAAAATAGCCTAAGTGTTATGACCATCTGGACCAGCGCAGTCTTTTGACCATACGTCAACATCCGCCGTTTTAGGGTACCCTTTAACGTCGGTTAGATGACGTTATCGGATCCTAACCCTACCCTAGACCTAAACCTTACCCTAACCTACCCCGTCACCTAACTGACGTTAAAGGTAAAGCGTCAGTTGACGTCCCAGGATCCTCATGTAACTGACGTTAAAGGGTACCCTAAAACATAGATATCTATATAAAGGCTTTATATCTATGCCCTAAAACGGCGGATGTTGAGGTATGGTCAAAAGACGTCAGTTACAGTATATGATGTCTTGGGATGAGACTGTGTTATCTGGACATCAGTTGTGTGTGAACTGAGTTTAGTGACACTATAGTGTGTGATAGTAAGTGTTTGACTGTTTTCGTAGTTACGCTATTAGGGTTATTGCACTTTGCAAGACAGTCCCTGCGGTTCTGTCTCTCAGTCTGCACATATAGTGATCAATGTATTTTGTCCACTGCAAAGGGAAGATCGTTTTGAGGAAAATTTGTAGCTGCTTGTCTACATTACTACGATTAAAACGAGGTGTTATATGTGTATAACAAGTTTAGCTCATGAGTTATTGACCCGGAAGTTCGAATCTGTGAATTTATTGCCAACTTTACTCAACTGACGAAGTTGAAGACAATATAACAAGACTTTATGCGTAGCTGCTCTACTTCCTGAACTTCAACCAGCTCCTTGTTTCCTGTCTTCTATTATTGGACAAACTTGATTAATTCATGTGTGTCTGATTATTGTTGTTGTGACTACTGAGGTCAGACACACCTGGATTAATCAGTTTGGGAGCTAGCTGAAGTTCAGGAAGTAGTGCAGCTGTAAAGACGATAGAACCAGATGACAGAACAAGATGACATAAACAGAGAACATACATAAACATATAATTTATCTGAACAACTAGGCAATGTTGTCAAAAATGTATAGGATACAAAGCAGTCAACTCATTTTTGGCACAAATGGAATCCCATAGATCCCAGGACTGGCAGGACATATAAAAAGTCATATTATATGTAAATGATATATAAAGTGATATATTGCATATTTGTAAATTAAGATTAAAATATTGATTTTTGTTTTCAATACAATTCAGTGTACAAGACTACGCAAAGTTACAGCATTCGTCAGCGTGGTGAAGCGTGGTTCAGCTTGGCTCTCCAGCAGGCGGTGATCTGATTTTGCTCTTCTTCATCTTCACCAAATACGGTCAGCGCGCGCCTCTGAGTGTGCGAGGTGCGCGAGCCGCGGCTGTCAGTGGCGCTGCCTGGGCGCGTGTATCAGAGATGGGCTCTTAGCTCGTCTCGTCTGAAAAGGTAGGCCTACGTCTATTAAACACCCATTTTACTTTGCTTCAGCTTGCCTGAATTTTCTTGAATCTATCATTACTTGTAAATGTACAGTAAACGAGGTAATATCCAGCGTGTACTGTTTGTATTTGAGCTGAGCTGTATTCGGGCCTTAAACGCGAATTGCTCTCATTTCATTATGTCACCGATGCCAAATATTTGATACAAATTAAGCGTCACACGACTGTACATTTATATTTGTTATATTGTGTAACTTACTAGTCTCAAATACAGATGTCACTAAAGCGCATTTGGCTAATGCCCGGTGTGTGAATAGACTATGGGTTTGATTTGGGTCATTAAATCTACAAGGGTGTTTATTTTAAGACACTGTCTAATGCATACATTTCTTCATGTTTTCTAAAAAAAAAAAAAAAAAAATCGTTGTTGGTAACGTTACACGTTTTTTTAGTAGTAGGTAGCCTTGGATGAATAGCGGTGTGACATTGTGCTGCCACTCACTTCGCTCACATGAACATGATTCATTTTCATAAACTGCCACCGTTTTAGATCAGCCTCTCAAAAGTCTTTCAGTACGTTCACATTCAGTACTGGCCGAGGTGTTCATTGTTTTTTTTTCTTTTCTTTTTTTTTTTTATGAACAGTATTTGCAATACACAGAGTAGTGAAATACCTTAATCCGCTTTATATGGAGAATGGCCATATATAAATTCACAAACCACTGTCAGGGTCATTGCTGTTGATTTACTTTCAATCAGGTGAGGTCAACCTATTGATCTGTATTTATGTGTGTAGTAGGTTGGTAATATATGAGCTCATGTGTGTATGAAAATATTTTAAAGTAGAAAATGTAATTTGAGATATTAAAACTCACAGGCTACTGTATGTACTTAACTCCGCAGCCATGCCATCAGATCTTGCTAAGAAGAAGGCTGCAAAGAAGAAGGAGGCTGCCAAAGCTCGACAGCGTTCGAAAAAGCATGATGAGGTGACCGGAGATGGAGAGCTTCCGGATGGCCAAGAGAATTGTGCAGTAACTGATGGGGAGGCAAATGGAGGTGTGTTTAAAATGCTGCATGAAGTTAGAAGAGAGAAAGAGACATATACATTGTAGACAAGTGATTATTCACCCACACTGTGCACTTCCTACCTTTTTGACAGTTCACGCTCATATAAGGCACCTTGGCAGAGGCAGACTCAATTTACACACAAACATAGAGATGTTATAACATCATTTACTTGACATTTTACTAAATACCAGCAGTGCATGATTTAAGTACAATAATTGTTAAGTACAATAACTGCTGTTTGGTTGACGAACCATCTAATTAAAGGATAGTTCACCCACAAATTTTAATTCTCTAAACATTTACTCACTCTCATGTTGTTATGAGTTTCTTTCCTCTGTTGATAGTTTTCCATAGTTTTTTTTTTCCATACTATGGAAGGCAATGGGGTCCACCAACTGTTTGGTTAACCATATTCTCCAAAATAACTTATTTTGTGTTCATCAGAAGAAAGAAACGCATAGAGGTTTGGAACAACACCCTGTTCAACACCAGGATTGGGCACCCTGTTCTAAGGTGTGCAGTTACTTTCCATTTTAAGCACTGATATTAAGTAAGTCCATTCTGTCGACTGCATTAAAGTTTCATATCACTTCGCCAAATTCTTTCAGTTTTCAAAGGCACTGACCAAGCTAACCAATATGACAGACAATAGCATAAAAATATATTTTTCCTCTAAATTACTTTTTATTATCTATAAAAAATGGCCTCTTTTTCCCTGCTATCTTCTGACATGCTCTGACTTTTCCGATAAATAAGCATGCAACTGAAAAGCTGCATGACATTTCTCACGTTTCTAAGCAGTTAAAATAGCTTCGCTGCTACAGAACACTGGTGAGAGCCTCTCTCTCTCGCTCTCGCTCTCTCTCGCTCTCGCTCTCTCTTGCATAACTGCACATCAACTGCCTCCATTACTAGCTCTAAAATTACATCTTGGAATTAGCAGCAGAGGCTTGGGGTGAGATGCATAAGAAATTAGTCCCACACACATGCATTTTAATTCAAAAATCAAACAAATGTGTTGAAATAAAACATCTGAACAATGTCTTGAGGCCTGGTAACCATAGTATATGCAGTATCAGGCCTGGACTGGTAATCTGGCATACCAGGAAAATACCCGGTGGGCCGACGTGCTTTTTGGGCTGATACATCTCATACAAAACTCGTACAGCACAGCCGTACTGGGTTAGTGCCGGTGTAATGCATTGGTCAAAAAAAGTCAGTGTTTTTTTTTTTTTTTTTTCCTTTCTGACAGACCGGCCCATGAAATGCGTAGATCAGTGGCCTATTGGTTATTTTCTTGATGGACATTGGGCTGGCCCAATCACATCTTTAAACACCTCACACTCGCATCTGAGCGAGTGAGCGTGCAGTGTCAGTGTGTATCTGTCAAAATATTCTGAGAGATGAAACGCAAGGAATGTGCAGAGAAATGACATGAAAAGTAGATGCAGGCCCTCAAGCAATGTGTCAAAATATATATTTTCTGCAGCAGCAGGACCTTAATCAGCTCCAGTGACTGAGGAGGAAAGTGAGGATCAGGAGAGAGATGAGAAAGTGTAGAGCCTGCGGTAAGCAGAACTACTTTCAACTATGTTATGAGTGTAGGAACCCATTTCCCAGTTACGATTAACGCAGTTTACTAGAAATTTAATGAGACACGTTTGTAAACCATGTTTTCCGCCAAAATGAAAGCTTGAAAAAAGTCAAAAAACTAATTATGAAAGTTTCCTTTATTTTTCAATGCATTTGTTTTAACAATATTAGGCTATTACTGCTGTCATATGGGATTAATATTATAACTACTGTATTATTATGCAGTAGTGTTATGTAGACAGACACTGTTACTAAAAGAGGTTCAAATTTTCCTTTGTTTAATTTGCGCACAGAATATGGGTTGCAGCTTTTAATTTTGAACTCTTTAAGTGCACCAGATTGATGAATTTAACATTAAAATTCACAAAATATGCACAAAAATTTCTTACGGGGGTGCATGCCTCCCAACCTCCCTAGAAGGCTAAAGGTCTACCCAACACAGTTTTACCAAAAATCCTTTTTACAATACAGATTGTATCAAAGCATCTTCACAGTGATAACATGAAAGTAATACAACACAGATCAATAATGTTGTTGAACATTAAATGTCCCTTTATAAGCTTTATAAGCTTTGCTCACCTCTTACATGCTTATCTTTTCTATGTTGCTTCTTTCACTTTTTTCTGTAGATGTCAGCGCTCTGGCTAAGGACCTGGATGAGTTTGAGATGCGTAAGATGGAGGCACGGGCAGTGACGGGCGTCTTGGCCTCCCACCCCAACAGCACTGACGTTCACATCAGCAGTCTGTCGCTCACCTTTCATGGCCAAGAGTTACTGAGCGACACAAGCCTGGAGCTCAACTCCAGCCGGCGCTACGGTCTCATTGGCCTCAATGGTACAGGTATGAAACTTAAGTGACATTGGGGCTGATGCTTTCTTTGCTTCTCAAGCTTTGTATTAGAGATGCACTGGTTGATCGTCCAGAAATCGGAACCAGTTTTTGATCCAAACACACAGGTTTTTGTTTTATTTCAGCCGATCTCTGTTTCAGACTTTCTATTGAAAAAATCTCTATTTCTGCACAGACTGCATTGCGATAATTTCCTAAAATGTGATTAGTGTGGAAATATCACAAAGACCTTTTAAACAGGACATTAACACAGGCTGGAGATGGGACACATTTAAGACGGATGCAAAAAAAAGAGAATACGTGCCGCAGCAGAGCAAACACTGTACCGGGCACAAAAATGCTTGAAATATTGAAAGAAATGTATATAAATATTGAATTGGGTTTGGGGTATTATATGAATGCATCGCTACAGAGAACTGACTGTCTTCAGAAAAGTTTCGATGGCATTATCTTTTCTTCTTACCTCCATATAATGCATTTATGCCAGCGCTGCTTGTTGTACAGCGGTACCCAAAGAAACTGTTCCATAAGTACCATCTACTGGCAGAGAGTGAATATTCAGTCCGTCTGCTGTTTTTGTCTTGTGCAGGTCTTCTTCTATGTAGCATAATTTCACAAATATAAAGACAATTCTTTTTTTTAAGTCTTGAAATTATGCAATATAATTTAAGTAAAACCAGCTGCTCATGCTACATGTGTGTAGCATCTTTGATAGTGATTAAATTCAGTTGTTGCCTCTAATTTCCAATGACTACATATATTTTTTGTTTAAGGCCAGTTTGGCCGGTTATAGAGCAAATAAACAACAACTAAATTTGCTTAAACAAAGAAAAAATTTTGCTTCTAAAAATATTCAAATCTGCAATTAAAAATTCAGGATCTGTTTATCCCTACATTGTACAGTACATAGACCTGTGTGTAAAATTTTGTATGACTTTCTACCATAGCTACCATGACATTTACATTGACCTATTAATTAACAAGACATTCTCGTAAGCAAATATAATAAAGGTTAGGGGCATCTATGAATGGTAATATTGTTGAATGCTCTTTGTAGGCAAGTCCATGCTCCTGTCTGCTATTGGCCACCGAGAAGTTCCCATCCCAGAACACATAGACATCTACCACTTGACGCGTGAGATGGCCCCTAGTGAGAAGACAGCACTGCAGTGTGTTATGGAGGTTGATGAAGAGAGGATAAAGCTAGAGAAGGAGGCTGAGCGATTGGCTCATGAGGACTGTGAGTTATCCACATATTTCATTAATTCTTCCACATTGCATCATACACCCAAATCCATCACAGGTTTTTGCTATACAGTATATGCGTAAGATAAGCTAATGCATTATAAGCAAATACACCTGGCCATTCAACTCTTATTACTGTTTATATATATATATATATATATATATATATATATATATATATATATAAATGCTATTCCTGTGGGTTTGCTGTCATTTCTTTAACAAGTTCTCTGCTCTTCTCCTCACTACAGCAGAGTGTGAGAAGCTGATGGAGATCTTTGAGCGTTTAGAGGAGTTGGACGCAAACAAAGCTGAAGTTCGAGCCTCACGAATCCTCTTTGGACTGGGTTTTACCCCTGCTATGCAGCGAAAAAAACTGAAAGATTTCAGTGGAGGCTGGAGGATGCGTGTGTCCCTTGCCAGGTATGAAAATGGCATTTAAAGGTGCAGTGTGTATTTTTTTTTTTATTGCTAGCGACATCTAGCAATTCGGTTGCAAGTTTGCACTAAGGGCTCAGCCCACTGCTCACCCTTCTCTTTCGAAGAAGCTACAATGGCTAAAACAGGACAAACATATTGTCGTCTGAGACAGCAAAGAATAGCCAGACTGAGCCAAGAGTGTGTAACATTGTCACTGTTTCTGTAACACTAACACAGTCCATTATCAACCTCATCATGGATAAAGTTTACAAAGCCATGGTCAGGTGAGGATCAAGGGTATGATATAATAGCTAATCGCCTGATTGTCTCACGAACGTAACCAGCACATTTCTCCCCACATAGCAATTGCCTAAGGTGCGCCTCCGCATCCCCTACACACCATTTACTACACACAATAGGCTTTTTTTTTTCTCTGATTTTGAAAACTCTTTGCGATCGACTTGATGATGTTGATGATTCCTGTAACATACTGTTTTATGGTCCATGACAAGAGCACTAATTAGCTGAGATTGTCTCACGAACGTAACCAGCACATTTCTCCCCACATAGCAAAGCCATAATACAGTGAGGGAGAAGAACTAAGTTACATGAAACAATCCAACTACATACTGTATGTATTTTTTGGATAATTTGTAACCCAAAAAATCCACGGACTTCAGCTTTAATGAATGAACCAAAGTCTCTGGTCAAATTATAGTTTACTAATATAATACATACACTAATATTAATACATTTCCTACATTTTGTCTAATTTCCCTCTTTCAGAGCCCTGTTCATAAAGCCCTTCATGCTGTTGTTAGATGAACCCACTAACCACCTGGATCTGGATGCCTGTGTGTGGCTGGAAGAAGAACTTAAGTCGTGAGCACTGTTCATTGGATTTTCTAGTGTGCCAATAACGATATGGTAATTTGCATGCGCAGAAACTGATTAAAAGAAAGAAAAACAATGTCAAAAAGTTTATTGTTAGACAAATGCCTAGGAATTGTAGCTTAAGTAAAGGCACACCAGGGGATAATTTTGAAACAAGGTTTTTTTTTCAAAAAGAATATGTTTTTGGCATGATGTCTAACAACTCCCCCCCCCCCCCCCCAGTTTTAAGCGCATCCTTGTGCTCATCTCACACTCTCAAGACTTTCTCAATGGCGTTTGCACGAACATCATTCATCTCCACCAAAGGAAGCTTAAGTACTACACTGTGAGTGCTGTTTTGGTCACGTTTTTTTTCCTCTAAAGTTTAATATTTGGCAAATCTATTGAATGCATTTAAAGAGATGGTTCATCCAAATATTCAAAACTCATAAGTTACCCTCCCTCCAACTGTATGACTTACATTTTTTTTTCTGTGAAGCATAAAAGAGGTATTTTGAGAAATGTCTTAATGGTTGTTGTCAGTAGAATGGAAATAGAAATATCTTCTTTTAAGTTCTACAGAAGAATGAACCTCGTACAGGTTTGAAACAGCATGAGGGCATTAACGAAAATTAAGACAGAATATTTTTTTTCTAATATAATGTCACACCTTTTTTGAAAATATGCAGTCCATTCAGATATTATTGAATGAAGCTCCATCAGTGTTTAGGAGCTTGGATGTAAAAACTTGATTGTCTCCAAAAATCTGTATTGCTACTCAGCAAGCAATAGCTGTCATTTCACAGGTTCGGTTAACTGTAGTCAGACTATGAGTAACCCACTTCTAGACAAGATAACCTTAAATTTAATTGTTACGTATTGTTTTTGTCAAAACAACTTGCAAAATTTATGATATTCCACCATTCAAGCAAAGTCAAGAGTGATTACAAGGTGTTTGGTTTAATTTCTTTGAGAGGTTCTATGTGTAGCCTGTGTGAGTCTATTCTTGGGCTATGGTTAGACATCTATAAAATTTTCTCTGACAGTCCAAATTTTGCCTTGTTTTAGCCTAGACATCAGGGCTGTGGACTGCTATTGCACACCGGACTGCTATTTGGACTGCTATTGCACACTTATTAACCATAACAAAGGTACAGTATGAGAGCGGTAAAGTCTGTTATGTATGCAATTTTAGGGTAACTATGACCAGTATGTGAAGACCAGGGAGGAACTGGAAGAAAACCAGATGAAGCGGTACAACTGGGAGCAGGACCAGATAGCTCACATGAAGGTGAAACAGTGCAGCCTTGTGGCCTTATTGCTCTGTTTGAGTTGCACTTTGTCTTATTTCATCATTATTTTATTGTGTTGTTGCCACAGACATATTCACCAGAGCTATGTCATTGCAAAAATAATGTCAAACTTATTCCCTTAATCTCTTGTAGAACTATATTGCCCGCTTTGGTCACGGCTCTGCAAAGCTAGCTCGCCAGGCTCAAAGCAAAGAAAAAACACTGCAGAAAATGGTGGCTTCTGGCCTAACAACTCGTGTCGTAAATGATAAGGTTTGTCACACAGACAAACACACATCAACACTAACTCACTGTATCATTTACAGTTCTTGCATGTCATTTTCTCTAGCCCAACACCTGTTATCGGCATAAAGCATCAGTTTAGAAATGCTCACTTTGTTCAATTGACTAATGCAATGACTAAGTCAAAAAAAGTGAAAAGTGAGAACCATTTAGAGAAAAAACACAGACACGATTTTTTTTTTGTCACTTCAGTACAGGTTTGGTAAAAGCAATTGATTAAAAATGAATTCTGTAATTTCCTTAACAGTTTACTAAGCCGACATTTGCTGTGGTGACTATAAACACTAGTTTATAGTTTATAGGCTCTAGAAGGCACTGCGTTTGCTTTTAAAGATGAAATTGTCAAGTGTTTATCAGAGTTTTAACCACACCTTTATCCTTCAGACCTTGTCGTTTTATTTTCCCCCTTGTGGGACGATCCCGCCTCCGGTCATCATGGTGCAGAATGTCAGCTTCAGATACTCCAGTGACACAGTGAGTCAACAGCCTGTTGCTGGATCATTTACACAGTATTGTCTGTTTGTGATATTTTTGTTTCAGCACTCATACTGTAAGCTGGCATAGGCCGTATTATGTTCTAAAGTTTTAGTAAGCCTTCTAATTCTATAAGAATATTGAATTCCACACTACAGCCATAACGATAAAGCCACAAAGGAACAATATTAATGTGTCCTTTTCAAAACAAGTTTTTTCCAGTTGACATTGACTACCAACCAGAATCCAATCCACTTTAAAGAGCTCAAGCAGTAGACAGCATAACTGCAGACTATACTTATAGACCATTTTGCAAGAAAAATAACATAAAAGCATAAAAAGCTGGGATAAAATACAACCAACAGAACATATAAAACTGAATCAAAAAGTTACATGTGAAATAAAGAAAACAGTTACAAACTGAAACAGGAAGTGCTTCTGGACCAGTGTTGTTTACATCTTGCAAAATGGTCTATTGTGCGTTGGTGTGGACGCTACTATAGTTATTATTATTGATGAAAATGGGCATTTGGACTGAAAGATTGTGGCACACGTAAATATATCATAAAAATTGTTTTCGTTGAATTTAATTACATTTTTTTACAGCATTTTATTTATAAGAACTTGGAGTTTGGCATTGACCTGGACACACGAGTTGCACTTGTGGGTCCCAATGGGGCAGGGAAGTCCACACTTCTCAAGCTACTAATGGGAGAGGTCAGTTATGAAAAAGAGAGTGATTTGACAGTTAAACGTCTTTAAAAAAGTGAGTTTTAAAGTCATTCACATTAATTGGCTTGTGTTTTTATTTATCTGTTGCAGCTTCTCCCCACAGATGGTATGATAAGAAAGCATTCACATGTCAAGATTGGCAGGTATCACCAGGTATACCGTCTTCATATAAATACAAAGTATGATTAGATGACTTACTACTTGTGGTGTTCTTTGCGGTTTCATAACATTAAATGTCTTAGATATCTATGTACTGTATATACATAGAGATACATATTAAATGTTTTTGTTACAGTTCTAGGGGAATATTACAGAAACTTTTTTTTTTCTTAAATCTGATTTTTCATAAATTCGTATTACAGAAGCAAATCTTAAGTTGATTTAGGATTCTTATTCCTATTTTACAAAATCTGATCTCATCTGTAGTTAGGAAATCTTAAACCCCTCCATCAAGTTTGCAACCAATGGCACGAAATCAGCTGCTGTGAAGTAAAACAGAAAAACTAGAGAATGAAGAAAAAAATAAGTGGTGCTTTTCATTAAGTAAAGTTTTGATAAGCTTGGTAGAAAAAGCAAAGCCTAATCCTTTCATTTCTTAGGAGCCTAATTATTTGTTTTTTTTTAATTATTTGAGTTTTTGAGTTATTTTGAGTTTTGTCGCAGCACATCATTTGGGTGTTCACAAAGTCTTTCCACCATCAAACATTGTTGTTCTTCATCTTGTATCATTGATTGTGATTATTACAGTTGGCTTTCAAATCATTTTGAAGTTAGGACACCATTGGGGTTCTCCTAAAGTTATGACAGTTTTTAGGATTTTTCGTGGAGAACTGAAATTGCCATGGTTACCAGATAAGATAGGATTCTAAAGTTAGGATTTTTCTGTAATGCGCCGCCTGAAAGCTAAATATTGTCAAATTATTTATGTTTCCTCATAATGTAAAGAAATAAGCACATACATTGTAAGTATTGGCAATTGTCCTGCAGCATCTGACTGAGCAGCTAGAGCTTGACCTGTCTCCTCTGGAGTACATGATGAAGTGCTTCCCTGAAATCAAAGAGAAAGAGGAGATGAGGAAGATCATTGGACGTTACGGCCTGACAGGGAAGCAGCAGGTAGGTGTGTGTGTGGTTGTGTTTAGTGTGCAGGGGTGTTAACATGAGTACTACATTGTTTTGAAGTCCAAACAATACAGCACGCTCTACTTAATTATTTCTGTTTTAACTGTCATATCCCTCATATACAGGTCAGTCCCATCAGGAACTTGTCGGATGGCCAAAAGTGTCGGGTGTGTTTTTCCTGGCTCGCATGGCAGAATCCCCATATGCTTTTTCTGGATGAGCCAACTAATCACTTGGACATTGAGACAATTGATGCTCTGGCTGAGGCCATCAGGGAGTTTGAGGGAGGAATGATGCTAGTTAGCCATGACTTCAGACTTATTCAGCAGGTACGTTTTATAGTACAAAGCCTGTAAATGGATCATACCCATTATTAGTGTGTCTAATTAGGATCATTTGACTGATCTGAATTGTGTGATGGATGAGTTTTCTATCTCATTCTAGGTGGCTAAGGAAATTTGGGTTTGTGAGATGCAGACCATCACCAAATGGAATGGGGACATTCTGGCTTACAAAGAGCACTTGAAGTCAAAGGTTCACAAACAGACTCATGATGTATAAAAATCCATGAGCTGAACAAACAAGCTTTTCCATCACGGATTGATTACCCTTCTCAATTTCCCAGATGTGCATGACTGATGGAATTTTAAATCGGACAGTGAACCCAGTTTCTCAGCTGTTGTGGATTGCATTCCATTTTACTGTCATCTAGGATTGTTGGCAACTTAAAATCAATCATTAAGCGTTCCCTGGTCTTATATCTACATCAAAACATAACCTACGGTGCTCAAACCAAAAATAATGACAGTAGACATAAAATACCAAAACTGAGGATTGTGAATAATGCCTGCATATGAAGGCACGTACACTTGGAACAACAAAGGGTTGTAAGACTTCTGTAAGACCTTCCTTTAAAGCAAGCTGAGCTGCTGTGGCATTATTTAGGCAAAAAAAACTAAACACATCAGGCAAAACTGTGCTGTTGCTTAGTTTACACGTACAATCAAGCCTGTTCAGCTAGCTTTACTTGTACCTGTGAAGATAATTCTACTGTAGCTTAGCAATACAACAGCAAGCAATGATTAAGCTATATGGTTTCTAAATATTTTAAGTAGTTTCTCAAAGAAGACTGTGCAAATATGTCCATGTTGAGCAAAAAGGTAATTGCATCAGTTCTAATGAACAGCAGCACCCTTGCTCATAAAATAGCAAGTCATGCAGGTTTCAGTTGTTAGGAAATGTTCCTGCCCACACTGTGTGTGAGTGTGTATTTCTAACTTGGCTACACATTGAGGACAAATTTTATAAAGATTTTCTTTGTTAAACTCAACAAGATGATCTGTCTCTGTCTTTCTGTTTCCCGCTGTATTCATTTCTTAGTTCATACTGTAAGAGGAGTGTGTGGTGTTTGATTGTGAGGGTGATGTGCGTTATCCTCCACATACACCCTAATGTTAATACACTCTACAATGGCTTTGTCAAAGCTTTTAAACACATTGGGATTAAATGAGATTAAACTGTATGGACCACGTACTGTATGTCTCTCTCCTACACTGAAATACAAATTTTAGCCCTTTGACAACACGAACAGTCTCTGGAAATATGCTTTCCTCCCTAATATAATCGTGTCAGCTGCTGCTAGTCATATCTCTAGTGTGTGTCTACTTCCATCCTTTCACAATTAAGGAAACCAAAAATTTGACACCAATTTTCAATATTGTACAGGGAGCCATGTGTAGTAAGATCGATTTCTGTAAGATAGCCACCTACACAGCAATATTGGACATATATTCTTTAAGTTTCCTCTTGAACTCCAGAAGATAGTGTATTTGCAAAAGTGATGAAAGAATAACAGTGAGTTGTGCAAACAGGAAAGTATTGCAAAAATAACACAACTTAGCAAGTGCCTTTATAGTTGGTCAAGACTCTTTGCTTACAGATAATTCTTCATACATTTATGTTTTTGAGTCCTAAATTATGTGTGAGAGTGTGTGTGTGTGTCACAAATCATAAATAGTTTCTTCAACTTATTAAAATATCTTACTTTACTGCAACTATCTGTTTCTGCTTCCTTATCATATTTATTGTGTGTGATTTATAAAATACATTATCCTTCATCACACATATTGTGTCTGGTCACTTTATATCTTATATCAGAAAATGCGTTGAACCATGTGTCCTGTATCATAGCTACATGAATGATCTTTGCAGCAAAAAAAAAAAAAAAAACCTGTGTGGAAATCAGTTTGTTTTCAGTGAAATATGAATAATTAAATGCATTGACAGCTCATTGCACCTGACAGATTACACTGAGTGGAGCGGGTGACCGGTTTAAGACGGCGGCTCCATAGAGGTCGATGGGGCGTTTCACAGTATGTCTATGACTGTATAATACAATTATTATTTGTATTTTGAGCTTAAATTTCACAGACACATTCTGGGGACACCCAGGACTTATGTTACATTTTGTAAAGAGGAGCATCATTCATAGGTCCCCTCTAGAATCATGACATTTAGAGTTTTGATAGGCTACTCTTATCTACACACAAATTGCAGTAGGCCTAATTTGTTGGAGGGGAAAGCTACATCACAGGACCTGAAATAATGGTGGTAATACTAATTTATATATTATGTTGGCAATATGTTCTTACATTTAACAAATAAGATATAACATTATACAAATAAATATTCAGAGGTAGGCTAAATCAAAAAAAAACTACACAAGATTCAATGCACTAAACTTGTTCATTCTTTTTTCTGTGAAGCTTAAGATAAAAGGACAAGATGCATTTCTGAATGGTGACTGCTGAATTGACAAATATGAGAAAAAATTTTTTAAAATATATTTTAAATTATGTGTAGGCCTATTCATTAGCTCAATTGCTCAGTATGAGATGAGCTAGCTTTTTGAGAATACAAACTTAAATGATTGGATTACAAAGGTAAATCAGCACAATGTAAAAGCAGTGTTTGTTTAATGTTCAGTTCAGTGAAAATAAAAATATGAGTCAGAATTTTCTTTCATCTAATATCCTATTTCATATACACAAACAAAATATGTGTGTTTAAAAATACAGTAAATCTTCTTTTGAGTTGAATTCTATTGAATTAACTGTCAGTTTGTTTACACAAAAGTAAGTCTTATACCAAAGTTTTTAAATTACATGCTTATCTCATTCATTTGCAACATTTGTTATCAGACACATGCACATTTTGTCATCACTTAATTGCAACATGACTTTCTAACGAGATCAATATAAGATGCTGTAACTTCCTCAAGTAGAAGAGGCTACCGCTGTCTTGTGTTCAGGCTCGTGGTATGCCGCTGCAATGAAGCAAAAATCAACCCTTCATTTGACTGTAGGCCATTTCTTTCTCATTTTCATTTTTATACAAGGAGCCTTGTCAGAGAAGCAGACCAAACCACCATGGGTGAGATGACAGCTCGCAAATTAACTTGCAAAATCTACTCTTGAAGTCCGTTTATTTACTTGGTTGAAATAAAATGAATGAGAGCACTATAATGAGCATTATATCATTCCTAATGATAAAAAGATCAGCAAAAGATCGGTTTTCTTCAGTTTTATCAGTTTGAAAAAAGTCAAACAAAACATGATAAAAATGTTTATGAAAATGAACTTTTAAATAATGTGCTTTATTGTTGATGATTCCTTTTTTTTTTCTTGCAATCTTTTTTCCTCAGAATTTTGGGGTCATGTCTATGGCATTCGGTGAAAAAAACCCAAATTCAGAGATGGATTATGATGAGGTGACGTCTCTATCTGTTATAGACTACCTTTAGAATCATTATCTCACTATAAGGATGTTTTTAGCCTATGTTTGGAGTATAGCCTACTTCTGGTAATTGTCTTATCTTATGCAGGCTATTGTATTGTGGATTTAAAAGCAGGAACACAGCTTTTGTTTCCTCTGCTTTACTTAGCTGTCAGGCGACATGAATCTCTCTGGATCCAGTGATGACTCCGCTGTGGAGGAGACATTCATCACAGCAGGACCTGAGCGACCAATGAAGGCAATTTAAATCTCTCTCTCTCTCTCTCTCTCTCTCTCTCTCTCTCTCTCTCTCTCTCTCTCTCTCTCTTACACACACACACACACACACACACACTTAATATCATATAACAAATAAGTTTAGGTAAAATAAATTAATCTTTTGTATGTGTGTTTCTTTTTTCTGAAGTTATTTGCAGAGAAGAGGAGCCAAGACTAACTGTGAACGTGTGAACGTGATTGTCACACTGCCTATTAAACATGTTTGGTTTTACATTGCAATAAATGTTGGGCATGTCTGAGTCTACTTTAGAATTTTTCATTTCTCTTGTCTTCAAATTCAGTGTCACTGGAAAACTAAAATTGAGGGACGAGGGTATTTTTTGTAAGCGTGTTTTTCCCCCCTCTCTGATCTGTCTTCCCTCGTAGAATAACCAGGCTAATGCAGATTAGCCTACTGGTAGATTCGAGTAATAAATAATTAAAGAACCATGAAGGCTAGCTACACGGGGTAAGTTAGGACAACCCAGAATTGACCTTTCTTCAGAACCAAATAACAATGACTTCAGCACAATTTATGTTTGTTTTTTTTTACATTGAAACATGAATGAAAAAATATTTGACAATAAGTATAGCCTGCATTTATTTCTTACCTTCTTTTGAACCATAAACAATTCTCGATTAGCATCTCTTCAGGGTGTCAAATTTATCCAAAATCAAATATTTACTCTCACATAATATTAAGTAGAGATTTTTTTTTCTGAACCTTTCTGAATGTCAATGCAATATGTAAAATAGCATTGCATTTTGTACTTAAATTTACATTTTACATTACCATTCTAGCAACGTTTGGTGCAAAATGAAAATGAAATTACATAATTTACATTTGCCATTTCATACACTAGTAAAAGCAAAACCTCCTTCTGGCTGCTTCTGATTTATGTTGTGCTTGCCAGACAACCACTCGGGGTATCAAACAGCGACATCCAGCGGTGATAGAAGTCATTGTTCCTCCAGACAGAGTGACGTGCTGCTCAAGCAGGAAGTGAACGTGTTCACATGTGTTTGTGTTGTTCTGTTTTGCCGCCCTTAAGCAAACTCACTTTATTTACATGAGCTGTCAACGTTTAATCGTTTCTGATGTAAGCAACAGAGACAAATTATGTCTTCCGATACTTCTACTGTTGGAGGGATTCAGGGTTATCTCCTAAAGCTTCATTCATTACTTGGAGACACAGAGAACAGGAATGCTGCTTTAGTCTGCCATGACATTATTGGAGACTTGGGGCAGGAATGCATGATAACTAAAAATCACAATGAACTGGGTAAGAACTTTCTCATGCAAAAAGCATTGCGTTGTGTTTTTACAAAAATGCAAAAACAAAATGTTTTTATTTATTTCTTGTATGCCTATATATTTGATACCTATACAGAATCAGATTACAGTGGCACATGGAGCAGACTGACAGATATTTGTAAATTTTAATGTTATCCAGGTTAATTAAGGATGGATAGCTGCATGCACATAAACTCCTATACTATTGTTGAACAAAGTAAATAATGTATGCATATAAACTCACTATTACAGTTTTTCTCGATTGTTTACACACATTTCCTGCAAGTATGCTTAATACTCTCAGAACTCTACACACAAATCTCAAAACACACACACACAATTGGCAAAACTCCTCAATTCTAGTGCAAAATGAAACTTTACATTCAAAACAATGTTATATCTTCTCAAAATGGTATTTTGTTTTCAAATGACACACACAAACCATCATATGAATAGACATTTATAAGAACCAGTTGAACACTGATGTGCTCAATGTAAAACACTATGATCAATGGAAAACACTTCTTCTCCATTCATCATAATGACTTAGGCCTTTTTTTGTTCAGTGTTACACTTACTACAGACATTACATAAATAAGTGCGTTGTAAAAAATTGGAGAATATTGTTTTTATACCCAGAACACAACAAATACATGGTAACAAATATATTTTATTTTTCCCACAAAAACAATGGGAGATAGATTGCGCATTTCGTACACCCCAACCTACCCCAAATCTACATACAAAAAACAGAAAAAATATGTATGCTGTTACAGTAAATAAAAAAAATAAAAAATATATATATATATATATATATATATGCTGCATCCTCTCTTCGGTTTTGGTATTTTATGCTAAAGCTCTGATTGCTAATTGTAAAACTGTGTGACGGGTGTTTGCCCATGTGACGAGTCAGTGTGAATATTTGAATGGATGAAAATTGTGCCAAATGCAGATAATTTGTGTGTAGTGTTTTGAAAAAAGTGTGTTTTAGAACTGCAATCTGAGTGTAAAGCAGGAATTGTGCTTGTAGTTCAGCAGAATTGGTTCAGGGGGTTGGTGAATGAGTTACATGTTGTGGTCATTGTGTCAAGTACCAAAATTTCTGTGTAAACAATTGAGAAAAACTGTAATAGATAGATGGACAGATAGCTAGATATTTTAAAGTGGACTTTAAAGTGCAAGA